AAAAGATATCAAATAAAACATGAAAGGATCAGTCACTGGCTCTGGTATCTTTTTTTCTTTTAGATTTTTTTTTTTCCAATGAAATTATGAAACAGAAGCCTTGTTAAAGTAGATGGAATGGGGGATGACAAAGGGAAGAAAGTAAATCTGGAGAGTATTTTTAGGAACTTTGTTCTAAAAGGAGTTTGAGACAACAATACAGAGAAGGGAAGTAGTCAAAAGAGGGCCTTTTATTATGGAAGAGATCATTCCCCACATAGGCTGTGGAAAGGAGTTAATAATATACATGAGAAGATGAGCACTCAGGAGAGAGTAGGGCATGATGGAATGAGGTTTTAGAAAGAAAAATAAGATTGAAAGCAAGCAAGAACACAGGAATCACCTGTGATCAACTATGACTGAAGGGACTACTTGCTTGTGAAATTAAAAAAAAAAAAAGAAAAATGGGAGACACTGAAAAATTCTTAAGACACTGGCAATTCTAAACCAAGCCTCCAGTTGTGAAATTTGTAGAGAATATTGATCTTTTTTTTCCTACATTCATGCTTTTTTTTTTTTTTTAAGATTTATTTATTTGTGCATACAGAACTGGGGCTGCGAGAGGCTTCACCATAGACAGAGTGGAAAGCAGAACAGGCAGACTGAGGAAGTACACTGCTGAGGGGAGCAGCGGGCGGGTCAGGAGAGGTCTGCCACGCCATGTGGTCACCTAGGGGGCAGGCGGGAATCGAACTCATGCGGAAGTGGCTTTAGCTTCTCAGTGCTGCGCTTTAACCCACTGTGCCACCAGGGAGGGCCATTCATTCTTTTTTAATACCTACAAAATCCTTTAAGGTACAAAGGATGGGGTTTTTGTTCATTTGCTTTTGGTGTTTTAGTGGCCATCCTAAGATAAAACCGAAGCCCACGATTATGTGGCTCATTCGGAATCATTTAGTCCACGGCATACACAATTTATGCTATAGGATCCTCAGTACAGTGCTCTTCCTAACACTTCGGGGAATGTTATGAAGTCTCCAGTAAAAGGGTGGGGGTGTAACCTGACCCCGCTGCAAAAATTCAAAAGAGAATTCCCGCCCACAAGCACCTTTTTAATTAACTACAAATGGTTAAATGCTGCCTGAAAGGTTCCTCTAAAGAGGAAGATTTTTTTAATTTGTCTTACTTTATCAATCCGAATGTGGGATCATTTGGTTAATACAAGAAGTCAGGTAAAACTGAAGTATGCAGATTAATCAGCCCCAGGTTTAACCCTCATAATTTCACTAAAATAGGAGCCAAGGAGACTCTTAGCTACCATCCCTCTCAGTGAACAGGAGCACTGCCCTTTAGTATAAAACATGAAAAGCAGTTTCTGTAGTTTTGCCAGCTCAGCAAGAGCAAAAATTAACCCTACAGTTCCTTATCTTCGGTAGCTTCCTCCTCTGGGCGGGGCTCAGAGTTAGAGAATGTCAGTGGGGGCAGGAGGGGCTCATTGTGTGTGCGTGACACAGGTTAGAATGAACTAGTTGCAAGAGACGAACACATTTCTAGATTCACCATGATTTTTAAGGTTCTCTAAAAGTCCAGACAATTTGGTAGGGAGGGAAAAAAAAAGTCCTTTAAATGACTTCTTTTCCAGATTAAATTTGGAAATATGTGGAGGAAATCATTTTTTAAACATGAAACTTCAACTATATTAAGTAGAATATCTCCATTAAATTAATCCACTTCATCCCTGGGTGACACTGGGTGTGGCTCCGAGATTTAGGAGGAATCCAATTTAACACCACGGAGAAACGTCTGCACCAAACAGCACGCGGCACCCTACACCTCTTCAGCACTGCAAGGGAGAGGAGCATCGAGGTTGGAATTCTAAACCACAGATTACACTCTCTGGGATAACAATTATCTGTTGTATGTGGAAATGGGGTGGCTTTCCAGGGGTTGAGGGATGTGGGTGGTACAAGGGATACTTGCAGGCATCGGTATTCTTTACACTTCATTACAAATTAAAGTCCTTTTATTTTTAAACAAAGGAAATGCCTCCCAGTTTTCTTGCTCTGTGGAAAGAGATCACATCTTGCAAGTTTTTCATCATCTGCAATAGGCATGGTAATTAAGCTATTTAAAGTTAGCCCCAAGCTATTTGAAAATCATAACCAATACAATCTCAGGGATTCTTTTATTTTAGTCCTCCTTTGACCACTCCTTTATCAGCTTCTCATCTCCACCTCATTCCCATTCTCTTCTTCCTGCTATGGTAATCTATAGTGGTAATTACTGTCTAATAAAAACCATTTATGCTTTTTCTCACCCACTGGCAATGTATTACAAGTGAGAAATCCAAGGCTGCTTCTTTATGCTGCTCAAGTGGAAGAGGAAGGAAGTGCAGTCCCTCCAGACCCCTCCCACGTTTCTGCTGGATTTCATGGGTGTGGCAGAGTTTAGACCTTTGCAGGTTTTTGCCCTTGTTTTATTCCCTATTCAAGAGTAGGATGATGAATAGATGTCAGAAGAAGGATAAACACAATCGGATTTTGCTATGAATGATATAGGATCATTTCACCCACAAGCAGGAAACCTGTGTGAGACTTATACTCATGCTCTATAAATGCCAGTCAGGGTAAAGGGGAGCCCACGCCCTGAGTACACCATTTCCTTCAGCTTGACTTAATGGTATCTTAAATACTGCCTTACATGAATGAGACATATACAGTGGTCAATAGGGAGCATGACCATTTCACATGAGAGTATGCATATGTTAAATCATGGGCAAAACAATTTCTATAAATTCCCATTTTGTCCCTTCAATGTAAATTACACTAAAACGCATGCAGGCAAGTGGAAATCATACAGAGTACATGAGTATATACATGGCTGTTATACATGAAGTTTGCAGATGCCGTACGCATTCACATGTGAATTTCTACAACTCGAAATGCACAATTTCAGCTTCATCATTTTTGTACATCTGAAAGAATGCTTGGAGGGCTGTTAGACAGAATCTGAGTGAAGGCTGCAGTCCCCTTTTGGGGAGGAAATTCCTTAGCTTCAACTTCCTTTCTAAAAATCAAGTTTGGTTTCCTTTGTCGAAGGGGATGTGTAGACACATCTACATGTATGCTTGCGGTGGCAAAAAGTTGTAAGCCATCATATTTTTCTTTCCAAAATTAAAGCTTTTTTAATGAATAGCATGACTTAAGGGCTCCGCCTTCCTACATTTTCTCTCCCCAGCTCACCAATGGGGCAACCTCAGAACATTTCTTTGAGAGTAGGCTTAACCCAGCCACATGTACCTATTGCATTTATGCATTAAAATGAAGGAAGATAAGGAGAGGAACTGGTTTGAAACATGAGTCCATGGAAGCAACAATCTCAAGAAGCATAGAGCAGTTGAGGAGAGATCTCTGCTTGTGAGATTCCCAAACCTCCCACCAAACATGCTTATACATGCCACACACAAAACCCACACACAGAAAGGCACCTGTGACTTGATCATTTACTGATTTACTTATTTATTTTAGTTGTGTCTGCCTCCCCAGCCACTGTTCTAACATTCTGCTTCTCTCTCCCTTCTTCCTGCTCCTCATCTTCACCCCCACCCCTCCTCTTCCAGGGCGCTGGCTAAATGTGCAAAGCTGGCAGACTGTCTCTTCTCCACTCTCCTCCACCCCCTTTGGATTCAGCTAGTGTATTACAAATTGCCCAATATCCAATTCCTGCACAGGAAAAATGCCCAAATCCTATGGATTGCACCCCATCACTAAGGTAAATTACTCCACAGAGGTTTTTTTTTTTTTTAAACAAGACTCTAACCGGCACGCATCCATACGCACAAGCACACTATTACCCATACCCCACACCCATTTTCTCCTTAACCTTCATCAAAATCACTCAGTCGCGTTCCAATAAATGTTTGAAAGCTTCATTTGGAGAATGCCAGGGCTCTGTCGGTGGCTGTGGAATACCCCACTCGTCATTGCTCCCCTCCTTCAGCCCAATCAAGTTTCTAAAACGTCTTTCAAGAAATAAGTGAGCAATTTGAAATGGAAGGAAAACCTGGGTAGTGGGGGAGGGTGTGAACTCGAATTCTTGCTAATCCTGTATGTCCCCCCTCTTTCTGATAAAATGAGTCAGCATGCTTATTATCTGGTATGTCAACCCATCTCTGGTCACTGGCGATCCCAGGAAAGATGCAATGGAAGCGAAGAAGAGGAAAGACCAGATTTCCAACAGGTAATACTAGGCTAGTCTCTCCCATCCCGTCGGAGCTCAAAGCTCTTAGGGGCGTGGTCCACCCTCTCCACCGACCAGCTGGTGCACAATCAGCTACAGATCTTGGTGAGGGGATTTTCCCCTTCAACTCGCCCAGTACCCCCCCAACCCCCACCCCAAGCAGCCCCAGTTGTCTTGAGATTCTCTTTCTATTTGTTGGTAAATCCCCCAAATCACGGTTTCATTCATTCATTCATTGAAAAATAAATAAATAAAATCTTCACATGTTTTTCCATGAATACCTGCGCCCATCTGAAGCTCATGCATGTATGAAATAAGGCTTCTTCCGCAGCACATGTGAGAAAATTGTACGACAGATCAAGCAATACTCATTTACTGAATATTATTCCTTCAATCCCTATTTGTGCAAATATTATAAAGATTATCTCCCCATCTCGTAGGTAGAACTCACATCTTTCCCCCCCCACCCCTTCCTGTATACACACCCGCAAAACCAGAGATCTTAAAGGCTAAGCATTTACTAATCACAAAAAAAATCTTATTTCTAGTCAAATAGGCGTATTTTTTCTAAGCTCATCCTAATTAGTAGCTACATTCCAAACCAGCGCATGAAAGACAGAACAGAATAAAAGCTGGGATGCAACCATCAGTTACCATATGCTAAAGAAACGCGAGCACCATGGCCAGTGCAGAAGCAGTTCAAATATTGTTTCTGCCTTTACAGACAAATACTGTACTCTGGTAATTTCACAACAGCAAGAAGTAAAAATCTTTAGCTCTACCTGTTTGGTTCTTCTCATACAGCACAGCATGGTTGTAACGTCCCTTGCCTTCTTCCTGCCTTCTCTCCTTTCCTCCTCTCTTTCTTATTCCCCCCCTCTCCACCTCTTTTCTGCTCGCTTGCTTGCTCACTCGCTCTCTCGCGCTAGCGCGCTCTCTCTCCCTCCCTCCCTCTCTCTCCCTCACACACACCAGGGCAGTTAGCAGCAACTGTAAGGTCCACAGCTATTGCTCATCGCACATGCTCGCTCCTAGCTCCTCTCTTCTCTCTCGCTCTCTCTTTTCTAGCCCCCCCACCCCTCTCCTCTTCTTTCTCTCTCCCTTTACCCCCCAAACTCTATCTTTTTCTTACCCGTCTCTCCCTCTCTTTCTTAGAATTGTTCCCTAGCTTTCAGTGACTAATCACTTCCCCCAGCCCCCAACCCCATTCTAGATAGTCACCCCCTCCCAGTCCCCTGCCAGCCTCATGAATATTTAAAGATCTCCAATCTGGACCCAATTACCCACCGACTTTCCCTCTGCACTGAGAGGATGGTGGGGTAGGGGCAGAGAAGGATATTCCAGCCAGTTCAAGAGATTGGTGGAATTTGTTTTAGGGAAGAGAATCTTGAGGGTTGGTTATATTTCTTTAACTAAGTCTTCTATTTCCCACTATCTTAGAAGCCAAGAACAGCTATTCCGAATGAGCCATCGTAACTATACAATATGTCATATATCTACTACTTAGACTTTATACAGTTAATAATTATGAGAGCTAAGTTCTCTCAAAATAATCTGTAAATATCATAGACTATATATATACTGTCTGCAGTATTCCTATAACCTAAAACTTAGATATATGCAAACAAATCTTATATATGCTCATATATCCTTGAAGAATCTATGTGAATATATAGCATTTTAAACATTGAAGCACTTGAGTTAAATAATAAGTAGTAGTCAGGAAATAGCATTCATAGCTAAAAATCACATGGTAGTTTTTTTTTTTTTCTTTAATGCATATACAACAATTTGAAAATGGAGTTTCTTCTAATTTTACTAAAAATGCTGAGCACATTTGAACAATTAGTCTATGTGTATATTAATGGTGCTCAAAATGATGTTTTACAGGTATGGGAAGGAGAACAAATGTAAACTCCTGAGAGCAAAGACATATCATGTTGCCTGCCTCCTCAGTTATGGTCTTTCAAAATTTGGGTGGTAGAAAAAAAAGGGTATATAATATAATTTTTAGATAAAAAGTACAGTGTGATCTTGAGATTATTACTGAGCCCCTCTGTAATAAGTTTTCCAATCTGGTAAATAGGTATAGTAATACCTATTATTATAACATGTGAGAGCCAAAAAATATAATGTATGCAAAGCATCAAGGAACCACCCTATTTATATAGCTTTTTATCTCAGAGACTGTACCTTACTGAAATGCTTGTGACATTTTCAAGTGAATAGCTCAAAAAACTTTTCAAACTATTTTTGTTGTTCATTAGTAATGACAGGCATCCCCAATTAAATAGCTTCTATTCTTTCTAATCCTGCCTAGACACAAGCCCAATTAATAGGTGTCAACCAGACAGCTTATCATCACATATATTATCAGGATCACTGAGCTTAATAGGTGCTTAATACATCTTAACAAAATTTAAAGTATTCCCTTTTCAGACTGGACTAGCTCAGAGAGATGCCCGGGGGGATAGTTATAAGTTACCCCCAGAGGTCTGCCTGTGGATGACCTGATTCTGATCCAATCCTATTTGGTCATTTACTCCAATCAGTTTGCTTCTTAGTTTTCATATTTTATGATTAAAAAATAACATTAGATACTGAGCTTAATTTGTAATGTTGTAATTAATCCAGTCAAAGTTAAGTTCTCAAAAACAGCTCCATGAATTTAAGTGATAGAAAAGGGCAAAAAATGGGTAAGAAAGGACATTATTAGAGACATTCCTGTTTGGATTTTGGAACATCCTGGCTGGCCTGTGAAGGACAGAAACATGATAGAGAGAGGAAGCAGATTGGGCAGAGATGGGACCAAAGGTGGAGAAATTACTTTTGGTATTTAAACAGATGAATAGCTTTGTTGAGAAAATGACTTCCCCAACCATATATCCAAACCCAAAGAAACATAACTAGTCATAGAAAGGGGCCAACTCCTTTTTTTCCCATTGCCTTTCCTTCATCTTCCCAGTTATATCTTATTTGCCCTTTATTTTGCTATTGATAGAATGAAGCTTGGAAGCATCATGCATAATTAAGTCAGAGACATCCTGGAGCTCAAAACCAGAAAGGTATGGACCAACTTTGTGACTAGCTATGCTAAATCACCACTCTTAACATCAGTTTCCTCATGCATGATGTTACCTAATGCTCCAAATGAAGTAGGTTAAATCATTCTTCCCATTTTGATGGGGATTCTAAAGTTAAGTGATTAGTTCACACAGTTAGTAAGAAGTAAATCTGGGATTCCAAAACTCTTTAACCACTAAGCTCTATCACTACTCAATGGGCCTCAGCATCTCATTACTTCTGGTTCTTAGGAGACTGCACTACTGTAGTGTAAGTTTTTGTGTTGAATCCAAATGGTCCACTGTTAGCTCAACTTCCTACCTCAAGAGCCATGGTGAAGCCATGGTGAATGAGCTGATACCCTCATCCACCAACGAGCCCTCTGTAGATTTCTGGTCAAACATCAGCTACTCCAACCACTGTCAGGTGGCTTGGTATTTATGACTCTCAACATTTTGCATGTCTTTCCTTGGACATACTACATTCATGAATTACCCCTTAAAAATTACTTCCCAAAAGGAACCCAAGGTTGTATGTTGGTTATAATAATACAGAACACATTCCAACACAACAGATTTTTCTTTCCTCTATGTAATGAAGGTGATGAAGGTGATGGGATGGCACAAAAGTGAGGAAGAGGAAAGCATGTAGTGATGTGAGCTTGGCAATCAATCAAATAAGTTTAATAATCAGTATTATACTGATCCCAGCCAGTCAACTCTGTCATGGATACACTAATCAATATGTCTCTATACCCAATCCTAGAAAATGCCAAGACTTAGTCCCACAGTGTGTTGAATATCATATAACATTAGATTAGCAGTTTAACTCATATGACATTATGAGGTAACTTCCTGAGTATATATATTAGGAGAGATTGTGTTTTCTAAAAGGTGAAGAGTGGTGGAAGCTCTTTTTAAACTTCATACTAAAGTGATATTGTTTTCATAGTAAACCCAGACATTCCTGAAGGGTTCTGTGGGATTGTCTGTCATATTAGGAATATGGCACTTGAGAAAAGAGTACCTGTAGATATCTTCAGTACAAGAAGAAAAATGTTAGTCTTTTCCTCTCCCTTCCAAGAGTAAATTTAATTTTTTTTTAAGATTTATATTTCTATGCATACATAACTGGGGTACAGGCCAGAGGTACAGGGGCAGTAAGAAGTTTCATTAGAGGAAGGGTGGGGAGCAGAACAGGCAAATTGACAAAGTACACTGCTGAGGGGAGTAGCAGGAAGCACCATGTGGATCAGCTTCCTGGCTAGGGATAGAACTGAAGTGGCTGTGACTACCTTCATATTGCTGTGCTTTAACCTGTTATGCCAC